TTGACTGCTACTTCAACACCACCAGGCAATAGGCCCTGAAATTAGTAAACATTACAAAAAGAGTAGTACGCTTTTTATTCATCACTTTATAGCTGGTGCTACAACAAACATGCATCATTTCCTCTCTTTTTTTTTTCCTTTTTTGAAAGAGATTCAGAAAAAAAAAGCACACGTTTAGTAGAAGATATTAGGTTTTATTTTTCTTGTGAAATATATGGGCATGGTTGTTTCTCAGAAATGGAAAAGTTATTTATAAAATACAACATGAAGTTATACAATAACAAAAATAGTTGAATTTGAATGCTAATATGCTAGCACATTTACCTTATAAACAGGTCCAAAGCCACCCTGTCCAAGTTTGTTTTCACTTGAGAAGTTGCCGGTGGCTTCTTTTATCTGAGAGAAATCGTACAGTGAAAATCCTGAGTTTCCTTCTTCAATCCTCCAAAGATTTATAACATTTTGTATTGCCATTGACAGCAATTGCAGTTCATATCTTGCTCGTTCTGGAAGCCATTGTGAAGGTATTTTGTTGGTACTCATTATTTACCATTAAAATCAAAGCAGAAACAAGGTTAGTGCCATGAGACTAATACTTTACCTCTTTTTCTCTCTGTTCTGATCCATATATGAACAAGCAACAAGAAACAGAAACCACGATGGAGAATGACCCAATAGTGATCCAGATCCAAAATTTGTTTGCTGCACATCCATGTATATGAGTTATAACCAATGAAAATTCTAGTCAGTAGTCAATGCTGGATTTCGAGAAATCTTAATAAGAGGGTCACATGGTAGATTGATACCTATAGCAAGTAAATTTTAATGGAAGCAGGCAAACATTTTCTATGCTTTCAAAATCATTTTGGTAGATTTAACACAATGTTATAATGTAGTATGTGCACCCCAATTTTGACCTTCTAAAAAAAAAAGAGGCACTTTGTCTTTTTGGTGGGGGGAAATCTAATTTTGCATTCACCTGAGTTTAGTTTCTTTTTTTGAACATAAACCTGAGTTTAGTTTCAATCAGATGGTTAGAGGAGATGAAGATGAAAACTTGAAACAAGTCAACCAACTCAGGATTGAAGATGTACTCACGTGGGGGGTCTACGGGCATATCTACTGACAACGTCGGGTTACCAGCAAAGAACTTAACTTCAGTCTGGTACCACAAGCTGCAGTACATCCCTAGGATTGCACCTCCCATCTGGCCACTACCAAGCCATCTGCTTCCTGTTGTTTATAACAACCCTTCAGGTAGTATGACAATATTTTTTATTTATATATCAGGAGATTATATAAAATTCTTGTCATATATACCTATTAATATCTTCTATATAATATAATTATTTGAAACACAACTAGATAATAAAATTATCGCCTGAAAAAAAGACCTGTCCCCCCTAAGTATAATTCTGACTGAGTATAAATCCTGGCTCACCATGTCACTCAACCATCTGGTTCCTGTTGTTTATAATGCCCTTCAGGCAACCTCTGAGTCATCCCATCACTATCATCTGAGGGTGCACATTAGGCCATATACTATCTGATTTGTTTGAGGGAGCTGGCCCTGGAGTCTCGTCCTGATCTGACTGATTTACTGGGCCCAGTTTCATCAGCAAGCTGGTGTTCATCAGTTTGGAAACAGGCACATGAACTCTGGGTCATCACCATCACTAACTGGCCTCAAGGCGCAGATTAGCGCAATCGTGGCCTGAGAGTTGCTGGAGCTGGAGTTGAAGTCCTGATCCAGAGAATATTAGCTGGCACCAGTTTCTGTCGTAAAAATGGCTTATGTGAGTTTGAGCTTGTGATGTTGCAAGAGCTACTGCTGTTGCTGATGGCTGCATAAAAAATTTCAGGAGCTGTGAAACAAAAGAATAGCCTGGGGTTGTGTCTCTCTGCATAGAACCGCCTACCTATAGACCCTGCCAGCACCTGTTCCGGGGAAAGCCATGAGGGCTGAGTGTGAGTTTGAGGGGCTGTGATGTTGCCAATCAGGTCTTCAGCAAGGGATTTCAGGCTCGACATGTAGGTACTGCTTGGCATGCATGCGGTGTTAGCATTGCTGCAGAAGGGACCTTCAGCTAACAGCTTTGGGGAAGAAAGAAGTAGGAGGAGGGAAACAAGTAGCATCGTGCGTTATCCTTGTGTTTGAGTATGGGACTAGTGGCTTTGGACACATGGAGTACATATGAATGCGTATTAAATAATGTATGCATTGTTTTTTTTTTTGCAAGAAGAAAGTTACTTCCAGCAGGAAGAAAAAAAAACACAGTGACTGGCTTGTGATATTCTTGTGAGGGAACTTCCTAGTCCTTGCTCACGTCACATGCTTGAATGCTGTAAGAAATAACAAATTGACCTGATGTCGACTGGCAGTGTGACATGGGAAGCAAGGAAGGTAGAAATTCTTGAGAGCGTTTAATTATAAAATGACCCAACTGGCTATTGGATTTAAGCATTTTCTTATATGAATTCCTTTTGAGAGGCCTTATGATTTACATGCTGATATATTGTTTTGGTAAACTTTTCTTGAGGACTTATTTGGATAAATGATGCAATACATGGTACTACTCCACAATTGTTTTAGTTTTTTTTCTTTGAAAAGGGAGTGGAAATATCCGAGAACTATGTTGTGTAGTTTCAGATTAAGACCTGGAAATATCAGCGGGTCACGCTGTCGTTTGTTTTCCTGGAAAGGTATGTCACTATTAGGTTGCAGCTCCCATATTACAGGCAGCTCCGAAGTCCGAAGAATGACTTGTCTACTGGAACCTACGCTGAAAAATCCCTACGAACAGGTCACGTATGTCCATTTTTCAACGCATGCAGAGTGTTTGGTTGGAACTTGGAAGCTCTGAAACTGATGGCGAGATCTCCTGTCTGAACTGAACACCGCTTGTTCCAGCCGCCACCAGTCAGTCAGTCGGTCAGTCGGTCGGTCATGATTATTTTCTTCAGTGTTCAGTCAGTCCTCCCCGGCCGGCCAACAAGGTTACAATGCGAGTGGTCGACTAGTGGTAAATGGTAATACCAGCGGGAGCAGCAAACTAGCAGCAGCTAGCAGGCAGTCCGCATCAAGCATAAAGCATCAAGCAAAAGGTGCGCGAACCTAAACTATAGTCCCTATCACATCTGATATTTAACACATACATAGAGTATTAAATATAGATTACTTACGAAACTAAATGCACAGATTGAGACTAATTTGTGAGACGGATTTTTTAAGTCTAACTAATTAGTCCATGATTTGATAATGTGGCGTTACAGTAAACATATGCTCATGACGGATTAATTAGGTTTAATAAATTCGTCTCTTGTATTACTGAGAACTTATGTAATTTGTTTTATTATTACTATCCGAACACTCGATATAACATCTTCATGTAACACCCAATGTGACAACCCTAACCTAGCAGTCAGTCTTGTTGATCCCCGATAGGAGTGTTGGCGTGTGTTGTACTGGTTTGTGGTTTCCATCCCGTTGGAAGCGACTGCGTGGAAGTTGTTACCGAGCATCGTCATGCGGTCAGGTCATTTTTTAATTAGGGCTCATTCGGAGAATAATGCCAAGATTCGTTCCAATTGCTATAAAATTATCCTATGGTTCCAGATGGAAATCTTCCAGGGCATAATTCCTAGAGAAACGAACGGACCCTAAGCATTCTGCTGCAACTAATACTAGTCTTTCAGCCTGTTCGGCTGGTCTATAAGCCGCTTGTGTCTTTGGTTTGTGCTGGTTTGTTGTAAGAGAAAACAACTTACCATGATTTATTGAACAAGCGAGAAAACTCACTGCACCATGTCGTATCGTGGATTATTTATTGCTGGGTGGTTTGGTGTGAGAGAAAAACACTGTTCCCGGCTGGAAATTTACGATCGTTTACGAGCAAGCGAACAGGCTATCTATCTCTTCTCTTCTTCTCTACATCGGCATATATCGTATTTATAAAATTGTATAGAAATTTTATCATGATTATTTTTTTAATGTAATCTTGTGCTTTGAATCTATATAGCTTGAGAAAACTAATTTAGGACAAACCAAGATGAACTTGTATTGATGATTAGATTAGAGGAAGGATAATATACGTGGCCTAAAAAATAGTACACCCCTAGTCCTACTCGTACATTGTGTGATCCGGCCCAATCAAGACTCACAAGAGAACATGCTGGGCCCTTATTACGTTTGGTTCAACTCGATTAGCCCACGGCCCAGGCGGCCCTGAATGGGACTGGCGAGTGGCGACGACGGGCTCGAAGTGGAACTGGTGAGTGGTGACGAACAGCGACGGCGGGCACCCTTGCGCCGGCCGCCAGGGACGCACCCTGCCTGCGACGGGTACGGCGGCGGACTACCGCCGCGACCTTCTCCGGGTTCAGGTTCGCGTGGGTGTTGACACAGACATTGCGCCACATGAACCGAGGTTCGGCCCTACGAGTCCCCTCTTTTTCGCTTTTGCTTTTCGATTTGAGTCAGGGATTCATAGGAATTAACCTCGTGCGGAGTGCCGTCTGCTTCCCAAGTTGAGAGCACCCTACGGTAGCGGTTACTGTACCCCCATTATGTGTGTCCCAATTGCAGTTTGCCAGTTCGTGCTCATGAATTTATCTGATTGGTAGTGGACATCAATGTCATGTACTATCTGCTGTGAAGTTTACTCTAGGAATAAAGCAACTCAAGATCAGAGTAGTGTTGTTGCTGTTTTTATTTGAAACTGTGTTGCAACTGCTGCTACTGTGGTTTTCAAAGTGCCTTTGTTTTAGGATCAGACACCCCATTTTGTTGTTTAAGACACGAGGTTGAAATTTCAAAGGTTCAGGTTCAGGTTCAGCCCAACAAGTGTTTTGCATATCCAAGCAAAAATGTAAAAATGTGTGTTGTGTTAATAAATTTGCATAACAATCAAACTTACTCGTATGACTATATTGGTGCAAACATTTTCCTCTTGATGCAGATAATTACAAGCATTTTTCTCAGAAATGATGACAATGCGCTTCTACCTTTCTAGCGTGATACTCATAGTCATAGTAACGCTCCGTGATGAAACTTCTTCCTCACTAGGATTTACATTGAAGTAAGCTGGCTGCATAGGCTTGGGTAAGCTCACATCCTTATTGTTTAGCATTGTGACAACTCGCTCCATATCAGGTCGATGCTCTGCGCTTTCTTGAACACATAAGAGTGCCACATGAATGTGCCTTTCTATCTCTTTACGTACATTGCCTGGAGGAGAATAAATCAGCTCACCTAATTTTTCGTCCGTCCAAAGTTGCCAAGCCTGCCAAAGTAACATGTTTTTTTGTGAAACAAGTAAGATAGGTTACGCATTTATAAGGAAATGGGCATGCACAGATAAAGTTCTGGGTTCGTTAAGGTTAATGACACTCACATATGAGATGAGATTATATAGCTTTCCATTGTACTCATAGAATTGGGCCGTCCTCTTTGAGCTTACTATTTCCAATGTCAATACCCCGTAGCTAAAAACATCTGATTTGATGGAGCAAACCCCATGAAAAGCATATTCAGGAGGTATGTAGCCACTGAGGATGGAAGTTAAATAGTGTCAATGTAATGCAAAAAAGTGGATTTTTTAAATTAAGTTGATGACATGCTACAATGCTCTTTTTTCATAGAAGCACCTCTATGAATTTTAAATGTACTCAAAGTGCACAGATCCATATGTTCTTACTGTGTGCCCACTATTCTGGTAGTATTTGATTCTTTCTCATTTGAACAGAATATTCTGGCCATCCCAAAATCTGATATTTTTGGATTCATTTCACTATCCAAGAGAATGTTACTTGCTTTCAAATCCCTATGAACAACACATAACCGTGAATAATTGTGAAGGTAAAGAAGCCCTTGAGCTATCCCATTAATTATGTGCAGACGTTTTGACCAGTTTAGGTGTTGCCCCTTCACGTTATCTGCAAAAGATGTACAATTTATCAAAACCGTTGATATACTGTAAGCAACATTACACATGTAGAAGAGATGGTCCTTGCCAAATATGAAGTAATCTAGACTTTTATTTTCCATGTATTCATATATAAGCAACTTTTCTTGATCTCCTCTAGTGCAGCAACCCAGCAGCTTAACGAGATTTTTGTGTTGAAGCTTTGCTATAAGCTGAATTTCATTTTGGAATTCCAATAATCCTTGTAAAGAACACGCTTCTAGTTTCTTGACTGCTATTTTAATTCCACTTCTCAATTTGCCCTGCGATTGATCAAAATAAAATAAACAAGTTACTGTTTTCAATAACTTGTTCTCCTGGAAACTTATATGCGTCCTATTTAGTCACAAAAATATCAATTAAATTATGCATCATTGCAGAATGTATCTCTACAATATAATATAGAGAAGGCATCATATCTGTATGAACAACATAATGTTTAATTCACTTCAGGACTTCATTTGTGGTGTTAGGACATAATACCTTGTATACAGGACCGAAGCCACCTTCTCCCAGTTTATTATCAACTGAAAAGTTATTTGTAGCTTCTTTTATATGAGAGTAATCGTACTGTGAAAATCCCAAGTTGCCACCTTCCATGCTCCATAGGTTTATCACACTTTGTATTGCTGAAGACATTTGTCGTAACTTTAATATTGCTTGTTCTGAAAAATAATATTGAAGTTATACATATAAGAGAGCACTAATTAATGGCACACATTTTGATCTGTTGTTATGTTAGTGCAGACCTCTCTGTTGCTGTGTTTTGATCCATACATGGATAACCAAGCAAGAAACGGATATTACCACTAGGAAACCTCCAATTGCCACGAAGTCATCAATTGTTTTGTCTGTAAATCCATGCATAGGATCAATGAGTTGTAGTTTGAGAAAAGTTCTATTGATGCGATTGTTGAAACAATTAATGTTAACCAAAAGAGAAGTTTTGGCATCTGATGTATGCCATCAGTGCTCCAAGAGCTGCTCCTACGATTGCTTACCCTTACCCTGGGCTGCATTAGTCTATATTTAGACTTGTGCAGCATAACTTACCCTTGTTTGGTTGCTCACACAGGCCTTTATGCAAGTTTGCACATTGCTCAAAGAAGGCCCAATGCTGCATTACCTAGCATCCTAGATTTGGTTGCTTGCACAAGCCGATGGAATAGGGATGGATAACGAGCCAACTGGACTTTTTTTAGCTTTCTCCGGACGGTACTATGCAAACTCGATTGAGGTAAATTCACCACCATGATCAGTTTGCAACACACGCAACCTCTTCCTCATCTCCGCCTCCACTGGGCCATAAAGTGCTCGATCGCCATTGCCACCTTGTCCTTGCTCGACAATAGTGTCATCCACATGTATTGGCTGCTGCCGTCCATGGGGAGGAAGTAGCGCCTCCCTCTGTGTGTGGCCGGCATGATTGTCCCACATAGGTCCCCATGCACCAGCTCGAGCAGTTCGTCGACATGGTAGCTTGCCTTCTTCAGGAAGAGAGTCTCCTCTGCTTCTGGTGAGGCAGTTGTTGGCTATTGCAGAGCTTGCTGGTGTGCTCGAGCATCGGGAGGCCATGGACCAAGCCGTGGTGCGCCATGTTGGCAGTGCGAAGACCTCGCACTACCTTGCCATCAAGGAAAGCGATAGACTCGTGCTCCTGTCGGCGCTGCTACGCCCTTGCCTTCCTCACATGGTCAGAACCAATGCACATCGACTTGAGGCTGTCCCAAGCCCGCTTTGCAATGGCCTTGCTCCCAAGCGCCAAGACATACTCCGTTGGGACCACTTGTTGGATGCCATGATGGGCTCGCCATCTGGTCCTCCACCTAATCTGTGGTGTGGGTATCCACCGCATGCCACAGTTCCTGAGCCTAGTGCATGACCTTCATTAACACCACCCAGTTGCTGTAGTTGGTACAGGTGAGAACTAGGTAGGCCGTGCCTCCAACCTCACCATCTTCTGCACCACGAGCAGATGACACTCTAGTGACAGGGAGTCAGGGACGGTTGGCATCCACACCGATCCAGGGAGAGAGAAAGGCCGCCTAAGCCTAACATCTCTATCAATCTCCCAACCTCAGGCTTTGATGCCAATTGTTGGCCAGCTCCCATGCCTTCCCTCAACTCACATAGAAGAAGAGAGAATAGAGAGCACAAAAAAACTTGGTGATGCTGAACTAAATAGTGCAGCCTGCCTCTCTTTACTTCATATAGCAAGTTAAGATGTAGTAAAGATTCTACCAACTACTCCTATTGCAAGGCCGTGCTGGCCATACCATCTACAGCTACTGCTAGGCCATACAAGCATGCTCCTGTCACTAGACAGGGGAGACATGGCCAAAAGAACATAGCACTATCTGCTCATAACGCATGGAGGGCAAAGCAGCAAGAGCTAGCCAGATTAACAACACCATTCCTGTAGCTGAGTGCACCTTTACTGCACGGGTGAACTGTGTTCTAGTGAGGGAGATTAGGTTAGATTTGTAGGTGTTGTTTGGCGTGTACCTGGCACCATTATAATCACTGCAGAAGGTCTGGCCAACGAATGGTGCTGGGCAGGAGAGGAAGACAAATAGGAGAGATAACAGTTTTATAATGACTGGTAACTAGAGCGCCATGGCCTTTGGTCACAGATGAGTGCCAAATGCAATATTCGCTTCGTCTTCAAAGAGGTAAACTGGTAAAGGAATTCAATGGCCAAGCTTAGATTCCATTCAATCTGTTAGTGGAAAATGATTGGTAAGACTCGTTCTCTGAACATAAATTGAAAGATGGTGACATGACCATATTTTCCATGGAAGACTGGTCCAGAGAGCTGCCTCTTGTGGATTCTTCCACCTGATGTGAAGTTTACTTTGTTCACTTGTGAGCAGTGGACTTGTCTACATTCCACATGCTGCTGTACTTCTTAAATACGTATTACGTCTTCTAAATTCTCATGCTGATGTCTTAGACTGTGAAAAAATAAAGAAAGACTAAAAACAGCCATGATTAGATTTATGATATTTCCAAACAAATGATATCTATTGTGGGGGTGTATATCTAACGAATGCTGTCTATTATTGGGGGGAATGTGATTCACTATCACACCAGAACATGTCTTCTAAATTCTCATGCTGATGTTTTAACGAATGCCCAGCGGTAGACACTTTGGGACTGAAATATAAATTAGTGCTGTCTCAGTTTATATAGAATAATAAGGAAAATCTTGTTAAATATGTAAAACCAATAGTCAAAGCAGCCTAACACAGGTTTACTGGTGAGATACTGGTGAGAAACTGCAGAACACAATGACTTACAATTAATTAACACAAGAAGGATGACCAAGACCTGTAGCTCACACTTTATTAACAGTATATTCACATTCTATTATCTGCCATTTGTAGTAGTGATGGTTACATCATTTCTGCTACTCAATACAGCGACATTTACTGACACATCTAATTTTGCATAGGAGTAAGCTGGCTGCTTTGGTTCTGTCAAAGTGATGCCATCACTGCTAAGAATTGCAACAACATCAGGCATTGTGGGACGATCTATTGTTTTTTCTTGAACACACAGCAATGCCACAGCAAGGTATTTCATCAGCTCTTCCATTTCATAGTCATCACCAAATGATTGATCAATGAACTCATTCGATCTCCTATCTTTCCACAGTTCCCAGGCCTGAAAAGAAAAAATGATTTTTTTACATGTGTATGATGGTATATCTTCAGCTGTTAGATGTAGCTACAAATGCTAGACAATAGCAATAAAACATGGAGGAGGTAAAGGAAACCGCCCTGTACTTTGAGCCCTATACTTCGTGGAAGAAATAATGTAGAAGACCATAAAAATACACCATTAATAGTAACTGATCTGTTAGTATAATGCAATCTTGTTATAAGGGAAAGCATATCTGTTCCACCAATTTTACAGATTGTTAGTCCTTAGTTGCTTACGTATTCAAGAAGGTTGTAAAACTCTCCATTGTGCTGAAAACCTGAGCTCCTCTTTCCACTTATAATCTCAAGAAGCAGGACCCCGAAACTGAAAACATCTGACTTGATCGAGAGAAGGCCATCAGATACATATTCAGGAGCCATGTATCCACTAGAAAAGGAGAGAATGTGGGTAGTCAGAATGCAAATGCTTTGATAGAAATATTAGTAAGTAACAGAACTAGTATAATAATACCCTTACTATGTTCCCACAAGTCTGCTGGCTGTTGCTTGAGTGGCATCCGATGGAAATATCCTTGCCATCCCAAAATCAGAAATCTTAGGGTTTAGATCAGAGTCTAACAGGATATTACTTGCTTTCAAGTCCCTATGGATGATGCGTATTCGTGAGAGATTGTGAAGGTACAGGAGTCCCTGGGCTATACCATCAACTATTTTAATTCGTCTCTTCCATTTAAGCGATGCCTGTCTGATTGGATCTACAAGCAATGTAACACAAGACTAAGTGTTAGTTCTGCATACGAGAATGAATACATTTATGAAATAATGAGCATTTTATAGTAAGGGCATGCCAAAAATGAAGTGGTCCAAGCTTTTGTTCGTCAGGTATTCATAGATCAACATCTTCTCTTCTTCATGGATGCAATAACCAAGCAGTCTAACAAGGTTTTTGTGCTGAAGTTTTGCTATAATCTGGATCTCATTCTTGAACTCTATTAGACCTTGCCGTGACCGAGCAGACAGTCTTTTTATTGCTACCTCTTGTCCATCAGGAAATACTCCCTGCAAAATTCATCATATGTGGAGCTTTTTCATAAATTGATGCATGACATACTAATAGCATTATAGCAAGGAAATACCTTGTAAACTGGGCCAAATCCACCCTCTCCTAGTATATTTTTGGGTGAGAAGTTGTCTGTAGCATCAGCAATCTGAGAGAAATCATAAAACGAGAACTCTAAACTAGCATCTTCAATCCTCCATAACCTCAGTATTTCATCCATATTCTGGGGCTCCTCCGTCAAGTCCATTTTCCCTAAATGTGCATCTCTCCATTAGTTTTACATGAAATTAGAATAAAGTATTTGATTTCTCTTTTCTTCTTTTTTTGGATATAAAAATAATAAGCTTACTTTTTTGTTTCCTCCAGACGCTTAGCAGCCAGAAAAACAAGCGTGTACAGAGGACTGCCGAAGTGTAAGCTGTTGCAATGATGAAGAACGCACGGTCTTTCTTCTTCCCTGGACATGGTACACGAAATGATCAGTGATGGGGTTTAACAACTTCTCAAGAACTTTGGAGTGCCGATACTACTTCGGGGAGCCAGCTGAATTCTTGGAGGTTTCAGAAATAACTCATCTTGGTAACAAGCATGACGACCTTCAGGTTTGTAATGCATAATAGTAGAAGAAAACAATTTTTTCTTTCAGTTTTTTCATGCTGAATACCGGACATGCTTAGGCAGGAACTTACGTAGGGACACCATCTTGCTGTTGCCAGTGACGTTGAAGAACTGCACGTCCATCTCATACCGCAAGGTGCACCGCGCCCCGAAGACCGCCGTGCCCATCTTGCCGCTGCCGATCTTGCGTCGCCTCTCCGCCATGACGCCACCAAGGCAGGCCCGGCAGTGGTCCGGCGGCATGTCCCACGTGCACTGCGCCAGCCCGTACACCGTCCGGTCCCTGTCCCCGGACGATGACCACGGTGCTTCGCCGACGGCCCACCTGCCCGGTCGCCCTGCCGCGGCGTCAGCAACCGCGCCCAACAGCTCCATGACCCGCTCGTCGAACTGCGCGGCCACGGCGAGCGGCACGAGGTCTGGGTTCGTGACGTCGACCCATTCCGGCGCGTTGCTGAAGTTGGCGAGGAAGTTCCGGTCGGAGAAACGGAGCTGGTACAGCTCGGAGTAGACGGCCACGTCCCTGTGGAGCGCGCAAGGTGAGCGCCCGTCGCCGTCGATGGCGGCAAGGGCATCCCGGAGGCGCCTGGCGCAGTCAGCACCCGCGGAGTCCGCCCGGCAGAGCACGGCGCCGTAGACCCTGTCAGGGTCCTTCCCGGCAGCGCCGGTGGCCGAGTGCAGCCTCGCGGCGTCCCCGATCAGTGCTCCGGCGAGCGACCTCAGGTTGGACATGTAGATGCTGTCTCGCTTGTACGGGGCATCGTTGCAGAAGGACTGGTCACCGGCCGTCGGCGCCGGTGTGCTGGAGAGGAGGAGAATTGCGAGCGCTAGTAGATTTGACATCGATAGTACTAGTAGTTTTTTCTTGGTAACTTTACTAATTAAAATGTTGACCACAGCGCTACACAATTCCTATCAGAAAAGGGCAAAACTGAAAGGTAAAGGAAAGAGGAAAACAACCGTTCTGGACGAGCTAGCACTTACACATGTAGCAGAGCACTCTGCAAATCTACATGCACATTGTACGCCAAATTATCGGGCATCCTAGCTCACGGACGTCCGGCGCAAGCGCCGCGTCCGGACGCCGCTCCCCTTCCTAAACTGGCCGCCTCCCACGGAATCGGATCACAAACCGCCGGTCCCTCGCAGAATGGAATGGAATGGAACAGAATGCGGACGCCGCTCCCCTCCCCAACGCACCCCGTTTTTCCCACCACGCCCCTGTCCCAAATAGCACGAAACACTTCAAGCGCAACATCGCAGGCATATGAAAAAACTATATAGTGCAACATCATAATATAAAATACTGCAACATCGTAAAAATATGTATTGTAACAGGAAATACATGTACTGCAGCAATGAAAATCATGTACTACAACATCGAAAATTATGTACTGCAACATCGAAAAAACATGTGCTGCAACATCGAAAATTATGTGCTGCAACATAAAAATTATGTGCTGCAACATAAAAAATCATGTGTTGCAATATCGAAAATTATGTGCTGCAACATCTCAAACAGTAGTACTGCAACATCGCAAATACATCTGTTGCAACGACCAAAAAATCCCATTGCAACATTCGAAAATCATCTGTTACAACATCCAAAAACCCCATTGCAACACGGGAGAAACGACAAAAAAGAGCGTGCAAAACAGCCCCTGGCCCATCACCTTCGAGTTCGTCGGAGGAAGGAGGGCGGGCGCGGCGTCCGTCCCAGAGGAGCAAGTAGGCGCAGAGAGCGGCGCGGCGATGTGGCAGTAAGTGGGCGCGGGGGAGAGGGGCGTCACGGCCGCGAGGAGAGTGCGGGCGGAGTGGGCGCTGGAGAGCGGGGAGGGGGGTGTCATGGGATCGGAACAAAATGGGATGCGTCCGGCGCGTGAGTTAAGGACCGACGTCCTAATAGAATGATTATCGCCAAATTATTGGCCTCGTTTGTCCATCGGGCAAGTGGATAAGAGTATACTACTGACTGAGACCAGCAAAACTTTGAGGACCCACAGACTTCATGGAGACGTACTCTGCCAACAGCCCAACACGGCACACGACGCCGTACGAAGCTGACATTGAGGTTAAAGAGTGCTCAACAAATTTTTGGCTCTCTGTTGTCTACGGACCAACTAGGCACCGTGCAAGGCAAAGGTTCCTAGAGGAACTAAAGGAAATCAAGCCAGAAAATAATACACGTTGGCTGATCCTCGGTGATTTCAACTTAATTTACAAAGCGGCGGATAACAATAATAGAAGATTGAACCATAGGCTAATGCGGCAATTCAGAGATGCTTTGAATGAATGCGAACTGAAGGAGATACATCTCGAAAATCGCAAATTCACATGGAGCAATGAGAGGTGTGATCCAACATTGATGAAGCTAGACAGAGTTTTTTGCAATGCCGAATGGGACTGCACGTTCACCTCTCATGTTCTTCACGCTCTATCCACCTCTCTATCAGAGCACCCGCGGCGGCCGAGGACATTCCATTTCAAAAATTTCTGGACCATACTTCCACGATTCAAAGAGGTGGTGACGAGGGCTTGGACAGCAACCTCAAATCATCATGAACCTTTCCACATCCTCTACAACAAGCTGCTTGTCACAGCCCAAAACCTAAGAGGCTGGAGCAACAGAATCATTTCAGATGCTAAAATGAAGCTGCACATGGCTCTAGAAGTCATTTTGCGTTTGGATGTCGCCCAGGAAAATAGAAGTTTGTCTCCAGCCGAACTCGACCTCAGAGCTAAGCTTAAAAAACGGGTTCTCGGCCTAGCGGTCATTGAGAGGGCAAGAAGTAGGCAAGCCTTGCGTGTCTCCAATATTAAGCTGGGAGACGCCAACACTAAATATTTTCACCGAAGAGTTAACGCTAGAAGAAGAAAGAACCACATCCAAAGATTATGAAATGGTCAAGGCTGGGCGGTCTCACATGCCGAAAAAGTGACAGGAGCACTTCCAAAATATCATGAAACGTCCGCCGCAAAGACGTGCTGATTTAAATTGGGGGAGACTACAAATTTCTACGCATAATCTTGACATGCTCGCCGACGACTTTATAGAATCCGAACTCAGGAGTGCCATAAATCAGATGCCGACTGATAAGGCGCCCGGACCGGATGGCTTTACGGGGTTTTTTTTTCAAAGAATGCTGGGATATTATCAAAGGGGGCGTCATGAACGCGGCTAATGCTTTCCATCGACTACGCACCTCCAAGTTAGCTATCCTCAACACACCAAACGTCGTGCTTATTCCAAAAAAGGATGGGGCGTACTCGGTATCGGATTTTAGGCCCATAAGCCTAATCCACTCCTTCGCGAAGATCATTGCAAAGGTCTTGGCAATGCGCCTGGCACCTCACATGAACAGTCTGGTCTCCAAGAGCCAGAGCGCCTTCATCAAAAAAGAAGCATCCATGACAACTTCATGTCGGTCCGATGTGTTGTGCGTCGATTCCATAGATCCAAGACCGTAACCCTATTTTTCAAGCTCGACATAACCAAGGCATTTGACTCAGTTCGATGGGAATATCTACTCACCCTAATGAGCAAGCTTGGCTTCCCCCAAAAATAGAGACTGCGTGGCTGCCCTTCTATCATCATCATCTTCCCGCGTCCTGCTCAACAGAGTCCCCACTACACCTATCAAGCACGGCCGAGGATTGCGCCAAAGGCGACCCTCTTTCACCCCTGCTATTTGTCATTGCTATCGACCCACTACAAAAAATCCTTGACCTTGCGACGGAAGAGGGACACTTAGCAAAATTCAGGGGAAAAAACACTGTCATACGGACATCCATGTATGCGCACGACACGACAATTTTTGTTAAGCATATAAGAGGGATGCCACTACGCTCGCTGAAATTCTCGCCAAGTTCAAGGACGCGACTGGGCTAAAAACAAATGTTGAGAAGTCATCTGTCATCCCCATAAGATGTCAAGGTGTCAACCTGGATGAGGTCGAGCAATTTCCCAGCAAGACGAGCTCGCTTCCCAACAAAATATGTGGGGCTACCTCTAACAATCACCAGATTGCGAAGGATCAATTTCCATCCTCTTGTTGACAAAGCCGTGAGCAAGCTCACTGTTTGGAATGGCAAGAATATTAACCATGCAGGAAGGTCCACCTTAGTCAAAGCAGTACTCACCTCCCAAGCTGTGTACTGCCTCACATCCCCTAAGAGCTCTCAAAGCCACGCTGAAGGAAATTGATAACCTTAGAAAGAGTTTCCTCTGGGCTGGATCCGAGAAGCTAACTTGGGGGAAATGTAAAGTGAATTGGCCACGTTTCACAAGACCAACTGAATCTAGGGGTCTTGGCATTCTACGTCTTGGAAAATTTGCAAGAGCACTACGTCTCAGATGGCTGTGGAAAGAATGGGAGGGAGAAAGAAGGCCGCTAACCAACTTAGACACACCATGTGACACGACTGATAGGTTCCTATTCGCTGCGGCAACATCAATCACAGTTGGCGACGGTAGGAGAACATCCTTCTAGAGCAGCGCGTGGCTCCAAGGTCAAAGGCCCCAAGATCTAGCGCCAAATGTCTTCCAAATTTTAAAAAATAAAAACAAGTCGCTCAACGAAGCTTTGCACAACAGAGCCTGGATTAGGGACATAGACCTACAGCATGCAGGTTTCACTTCCCAACACTTCGTGGAGTATGTGCAGCTTTGGCACGCCCTAAACCACCTTCAGCCCCAATCGGACAGGGAAGACAACATCATTTGGAATTTCATGCCAGATGGAAAATTCACAACAGGGTCGGCCTACCACGCGCAATTCATTGGATCAACGACGACCAATTTCAAACGACTAATTTGAAAAGTCTGGGCGCCACCAAAATGCAAGCTCTTTGGGTGGCTCGCCATCCAAAACAGAATCTGGACCTCCGATAGACTACAAGCGCGAGCATTGCCAAATAATGGTGTGTGTCCTCTTTGCAGACACAGTCAAGAATCTGGAGTCCATCTCTTTCAAGACTATCGTTACACTAGGCGCATTTGGGAGGGCATTGCAATGTGGCTAGGCAACGAACACCTGCGCCCTTCCATCGGAGACTCCGTACAAACTTGGTGGGAAAACCTAGATCGAACACCGTCGACGGCGAGGCGAGGGCTGCGTTCCATTATCATTCTTGTTTGTTGGGAGGTGTGGACCAAAAAAAATACAAGAATCTTTGAGCGCAAAGAATCCGCACCAATGCATCTCCTCCAGAAGATCAAGGAAGAGGCTGGCTTGTGGGCAATGGCAGGAGCAAAGCATATCTCCAATTTATTATTGCGCGTGTGATTTGAGGCCACCTAAGGTGGAGCGTGTCGGGCTTTTGCCCTCTTGTACACATTTGTATATGCTTGTACAGTGCCTTTCTAGACTCCCTTCTTTTTAATACAATAGGCAGCTCTCCTGCCGGTTCCGTTTCAAAAAAAAAAAAGTAATTGGGTAAGAATTATATGATTCAGTACATATACACTAGATAACATGATAAGTCTAAAATTCGAAGATTAAGGTGAAAACATACACAAATTACACTATAAATAGTTCAAACACCGTTCCCACAATTCAAAATATAGATATAAAATTGAGTAATAGACTTACAATACTACTTATCTGACTTCTTTAGCCGATGCTCTTTTTGAGGGACATGAAGTCTTGATTATATCATGCTTCTGAAAAAAAAAGATGCAATGTCTCCACTTCTCTGCATAGTAACTTCATAATTATTAAAAACACAATGCTAAACAACTAAATAAATCACACTTGCACGGATTAAATCTAAGTTCTCATATGTGACTGCATAAACACACATAATATATACTGAATTGTTGATCAATCTTGACAGTCTCCGATGTTGGACTAACGAGCCAATTGGACTTTGTTTTTAGCTTTCTTCGAGATTGATATATTCTTGTGATAGACCGAACCAAACAAACTGTATTTGTGATTTGTACGATCAGGGTTCCCATTTCACTGCAACGTAGGGGTATATATATTTGAAACGCAACACAAAAGCGCTGAAACTGTAGTCCATTTGTCTCTCATGATAGCGACGCAGAGCGTATCGCATATCTCGGCGTCCAAGTGAGGTTACCTTGTTTTGAAGCGTCTGGGACTAACCAGCGGAATGTCATCGCCATTGACGTCGGCCCTGATGGTGTACGACGAAATCTACAACGGCGACCCCGGTAATATGCAGGCACTACGTGAGTTGATCCCACCGGACAGCGATGTGGGTCAGCGCAAGCAGCGCCGCCATCGCTCGGCAGCCTGGGCATAGGCCTACTAGCCAGGTCCACAAGTCGGGTTGATTAGCGTTCAATGTAACAACAAAGCTTGAAGTACACTAGGGAGCGTCCGAACGTCCATGTATTACTCTTCTGACCACATAGGGCGTCGTTAAGGCGTGTTGTATTAAACATTTTTCTATCTTAATATAAAGACGTACAAATATTTTGCGTGATCGAAAATAAACATAAACTCCGCTTTTGAGATTTTTTTTCCTAAGAGGTTGCTTGAGGGACCTTCTTCTCCTTAGCATGCTCGGAAAATTTCTCAGCAGCTGCAGCCAAAAGCGCCGTGCTCACCATAGCTTCAACCTCTGGGTGCGCATCATCAATCTCATACTCGATAGTCGACCTGATCACCGACGAGTTGGGCCCTTTGGAAATGATGTCAACCCGTATCATGTAGGCCAGGAACCCCAGCTTCAGAATGTCGCCATCAATGGCTTCTGCCTCCTTGGTATAGTTCTCGTTGTCAACTTTGATGAACTTCTCCGTGTAACTCTGGAGCCCAGGCCGGATCCCTAACAAGAGCAGAGCAGAGCAATTTAAATGTTACTCCAAAAGTCATGACTGAAAGTACTGTTCGCTGATTTGTTGTGAGAAAAAAATATTGTTCGCTCTCTTAAATAGTAGGGCTCGTAAGACAAGCGAACATGGCCTAGCAACATCAAAGATTATGGCATATATACGTGTCCTTATATATATACAAATAAAGTTTCTCTCACCAGGAGGAAATGTTAGCTGCAAGATGGTACCAACACCGCCGTCGCCGCTGACGAGGTCCGCCTTGGTGAGCAGCTGCGGGAGCAGCTGCGGCAGGAGCTCCGCGGCGCGGAGCGTGCCGTAGATCGCCCAGAGCTCGGAGGCGGGGACGTCGGTCTCGTGCTCATGGACCTTGCTCCCCTTCATTGCTAGTTCCTCGGCCTTTCAGCTGCTGTGCTGCGTGATGATTCTATTGTCTGAGCTGTGGTGTATGCGTTAGGTGTGCCGCCTGTGCAAGCTCTCCGGTGTACATATATATATAGACAAGCCAGCGTACTGAAAGATATCTTTTCTGCTTGGCATCTCCAACGGCCAGAGCAAGGCTGTCATTTGGCTGCATCTGTGGAGTGTCTTGGTGGTTGCCCCTCCAGACGAGTTGTCGCGTGATTTGCGCGCCCTAGCAGCCCAGAGCCCCAGACCGTGGAGCAAGCGTTGACACAAAATATTCAAATGATAATGAGTCTCAGGCCATCAATATCTACAACATATTCGCAATTGTGTTGGATCCCTAATATTCGCAATTGCCTCCATAGAGCATCACCTCACCGTTTCTTTTATTTTTCGTCTGTTCACCGGCATCTTCGGGTCAGAGTCTGCATTTGTGTAGCCCTGATAGATAGGTCTCAACCACACTGCATTATTAGAGAAGTATGTCAAGATCTAACTTATGCAGATCAAGAGTGTAGTAATTCTTTACGGCATGATGATTTGTTTGGGTACAAACTGATGGTAACATTTTGGTCACTATGACAACGTCAGACAAGAAAAACACACATATACAGTTAGTTCTCACAATGACAATAACGTGCACGCAAAACCAAACAGAGAATATGATACAACTTCATTCGCTACATATAATGGAAAAGATGATAGTAAACAAGTTAGTTCTATATACAACCAAAGCTCCATTAGTTATGAGCTGTTGCAACGATGAAGAACGCACACGGTCTTTCTTCTACCCTGGACATGATACACGAAATGATCATTGATGGGGTTTAACAACTTCTGAAAAACTTTTGGAGTGCCGATATGCATTCCAGATTGATTAACTCTACTTCAGAGAGCCAGCTGAATTCTTGGAGGTTTCAGAAATAACACATCTTGGTAACAAACATGACGACCTTCAGGTTTGTAATGCATAATAGTAGAAGAAAACAATTTTTTCTTTCAGATTTTTCATGCTGAATACCGGACATGCTTAGGCAGGAACTTACGTAGGGACACCATCTTGCTGTTGCCAGTGACGTTGAAGAACTGCAGGTCCATCTCATACCGCAAGGTGCACCGCGCCCCGAAGACCGCCGTGCCCATCTTGCCGCTGCCGATCTTGCGTCGCCTCTCCGCCATGACGCCATCAAGGCAGGCCCGGAAGTGGTCCGGCGGCATGTCCCGCGTGCACTGCGCCAGCCCGTACACCGTCCGGTCCCTGTCCCCGGACGATGACCACGGTGCTTCGCCGAAGGCCCACCTGCCCGGTCGCCCTGCCGCGGCGTCAGCAACCGCGCCCAACAGCTCCATGACCCGCTCGTCGAACTGCGCGGCCACGGAGAGCGGCACGAGGTTTGGGTTCGTGACGTCGACCCATTCCGGCGCGTTGCTGAAGTGTTACGCTCACGACGGGTTCTGGTATTTGGAATATCGATCTTACAGAATTTAGGCGAGTAGCAGGAACGGAGCAGGGGAAAGGCAGCAGAGCACGGGGTTGGGTATCAGAGAAAGCTTGCAGGCGGAAGCAAGAGTTTGTTACATTAATCTTTGATGCCCCCTCTTCTCACAACAATCCGTATATATGTTGCTGAAGCTTCACGCCTTGGCCCAGTCGTTGCCCGAGAAGCGCCGGTTAGGAAGTCTGGGCCGGTTGGACCTTCGCAGCTGCGGCCCATTCTCCCGCTGCGGCTCCAGTCCGTCTTCAGCATCTGGTGCCGGACTCGCCACAGTAGTAGGTCCAGACGTAACACTCCCCCTCCCTTGTGCGCCGAGCCGGTTCCAGACGGCGGCGCGGGGAAACTACTGCCGAAGAAACTCCAATTCCTCCCAAGTAGCTAGAGACCTTGGCAAGTTAGACCACTAAATTAAACCTTGAGTGATAGAGCGCGTACCCTTGGTGATGGATCGAGTCTGAAGAATCCGCTCAGGAACACTCCAAAGGACCGCCTCAGAAGGTGGATGACTGGTGACAGAATGATGAGTTCCCACTAACTTCTTGAGCTGTGAAACATGGAACACCGGGTGCACCGAAGAAGAAGCCGGAAGCTCAAGTCTGTAAGCCACCGCTCCCACACGAGCCAGGATACGATATGGCCTGAAGAATTTGAAGGCCAGTTTCTGATTGCTGCGCTGTGCTAAGGAAGATTGCACGAATGGCTGAATTTTGATGAATACCAGATCACCAATCTGAAACTGACGTTCGGACCGATGCTCATCAGCTTGCTTCTTCATACGCTGCTTAGCGTGGTTCAGATGCTGGCGAATCACGTCAGACATCAGGGCTCGGTCAGACAACCAAGTAGCCAAATCAGGAATGTCCGTGTCTGAAGAAGTGGCAATGCCAAAATGGCGCGGTGCATAACCATACAATACCTCAAAAGGAGAACGCCCCAAAGCTGAATGCCAATTGGTGTTGTACCAAAACTCGGCTTGATCCAACCACTGTCGCCACTGATGCGGGCAAGCATGCACGAAGCAACGTAGGAAGGTCTCAACACATTGATTGACCCGTTCGGTTTGACCATCCGTTTGCGGATGATAAGCAGTACTCATCCGCAGCTCAACTCCAGCCAACTAAAACATCTCACGCCAGAAATGACTCATAAAGACTTTGTCTTGATCCGATACAATGGCTTGCGCCATACCGTGCAGCTTATACACTTGAGAGATAAAAGACTGAGCCACTGATCGAGCAGTAAAAGGATGCTTGAGAGGCAGGTAATGGGCATACTTGGAAAAAGATCCACAATCACCAGGATGTAGTTAGAACCTTGTGAGGATGGTAGCCCTTCAATAAAATCCATGGATATCACAGACCAGGCGCTGTTAGGAACTGGCAACGTCTGCAGCAAGCCGGGTAGCTTGGAGCGGTCAGGTTTAGCTTGTTGGCAGACAACACAAGCAGCAACAAAAGACTGAACTGCTGACTTCATGCCGGTCCAAGCAAAGATTTGCTTCAAACGGCGATAGGTGATGGACATGCCGGAGTGTCCACCAACAGCAGTAGAGTGCACCGCTGTAATCAACTGAGTTTGCAACTCAAGGTCAGCCCCCACCCAGATACGGCACTTGTAGCGCAGCAGACCATCACGAAGAGTAAAGTTGGTTACTGAATCCGGTGCCATGGCCAACTTGGCAAGCAATTCTTGGGCTCGAGCATCTTGAGAGTACGATTCCACCACTGCCTCCAACCACTAAGCCTGACAAACTGACAGCGCGGCCAATTGCGCAGAAGGACAACGGGAGAGTGCATCAGCCGTGCCATTGTCCGCGCCCTTGCAGTAGACAATCCGACACTACAGGCCAATGAGCTTGGTGAAGACCTTTTGCTGCCAGGGTGTGTGAAGCCTTTGGTTTGTCAGCTGCACCAGGCTACGATGATCGGTGATGATCTGAAACTCGGCATGTTGCAGATAACTGCGCCAGTGCTCTAGTGCCAACAAGATAGCCATATATTCTTTCTCATATGTGGATATCCCTTGCAAGCGGGGTCCCAAGGCTTTGCTCAGGAATGCCAAGGGATGACCCCCTTGCATAAGCATGGCACCAATCCCAGTACCGCTGGCATCAGTTTCCACAGCAAAAGGGTGACTGAAATCCGACAGGGCCAACACCGGGGTGGTTGTCAGAGCGTGCTTCAGAGCTGACAAGGCCTTGTCCTGGTTGTTTGTCCATACATAAACAACACCTTTGCGAAGAAGATCCATCAAGGGTTTTGATATGATGCCAAAGTGCTTAACAAAACGCTTGTAGTATCCTGCTAGGCCCAAAAAACTACGCAATTCCTTAACTGGCCGTGGAACAGGCCATTTCAAGATAGCCTGAACCTTATCGGGGTCAGTAGCCACGCCCTCCTCTAAAATAACGTGCCCCAAATAACGAAGCTGTCGTTGTGCAAAGTGACATTTGGACATCTTCACCTGGCACTGATCTTGCTGAAGCAACTGAAAGACCAACCGCAAATGCTCAACATGTTCTTCATAGGAACGACTAAAAATGAGAATGTCGTCGAAGAAAACGAGTACACATTTGCGCAACAGAGGGTGTAGGGTAGTGTTCATAGCCTTGATAAAGGTGGCCGGAGCTCCTGTGAGACCAAAGGCCATGACACGAAACTCGTAATGGCCGATGTGAGTTTGAAAAGCAGTCTTGAATTCCTCCCCACTCTTCAAACGAATCTGATGGTATCCCGCTGTCAGATCAAGACAAGAAAACCAAGATGCATGTGTGAGTTCATCGAGGAGCTCTTCAATGACTGGTACTAGATATTTAGCTTTGACTGTGATGGCATTGAGCTGTCTGAAATCCACACAAAAGCGATGCGTGCCATCTTTCTTCTTGACCAGCAAAACTGATGAAGAAAATGGACTAGAACTGGGCTAGATCAGGCCGGCTTGTAGCATTTCAGTAACTTGACGCTCAATTTCATCCTTAAGCAAGGGTGAGTAATGATAGGGCCTTACTGAGAATGGACTGGCACCATGTATCAATGGAATGGCATGGTCACAATGGCGTGCCGGTGGATAGCCAGCCAGAGGAGCAAAGACAGACTGAAATTTTATTAAGAGTGCTGCAATCTCAGACGGAATAGGCTCCTGACGAGCTACAGTATCATCTGACAACATAGTGGTAACCTGAATGATAGAACCGGCAGGCAGACTCATCATCTCACCTTGCAAGAAATTGTGGCCTTGACCATAGGGAATTATCATCCATTTGCTGTGCCAATCCACCTGCATCGGGCTACGAGAAGCCAACCAGTCCATTCCAACAATCAGCTCATAAGACGTCAGAGGCAAAATCTTGTTCAGAGACTGCATCCATTGTGGTGACAAATGGTCCCACGACCACAAGTGTTCAGAGACTGTCCAACTCCATGTCTTACAGGAGTTCTGGGACATCTGTCATTCGGATGACTGCTCAGATTCTGCATCGGTCCA